GAGAGGGGATCTGGTGGCCATCTATAAACTGGCCAAGGGAGAGCAGCAGGCAATGGGAGAGTCCCTGTTCCCCTGAGCACTACCAGGAGTAACAAGGAACAACGGCCATAAGCTGACAGAGAGCAGATTCAGGCTGGATATCAGGAGGCACTACTTCACAGTCAGGGTGGCTAGGATCTGGAACCAACTCCAAGGGAAGTGATCCTCGCTCCTACCCTGGGGGTCTTTAAGAGGAGGCTAGATAGACACCTTGCCGGGGTCGTCTGACCCCAGCATTCTTTCCTGCCCATGGCAGGGGGGCGGACTTGATGATCCGCTCAGGTCCCTTCTGACCCTATTAACTATGAAACTACAATCCAGCCTGTCCAAAAGACAATCAGGAATTTATTAGAGTTCTTTTGCATTCATTTGTCTGTATTTGCTATTGTAGGTCTCAGACTTAGATATCTTATCTTTGCTAGCCCTATTATACCTGGGCTCTGTTCTTGCATTTCTCAGTGGGCGCATCTAGACATGCTATTACGACGCACAAATAAACTGTGGAGTTTATTGCTCTGCAGATTATTGCTTCTGGGCACGCTGTTTGAACATACACCCAGGAGCAATTAATTCTGGAGCAATTAACTCGGGAGCAATAAACTCTGCAGTTTATTCATGCGCAGTATGTGGAGCCAGACCAGAGCAGTTCCAGTTGGCAGGGAGCCCTGGGGGTCAACCTGCCAGCATGGCACAACTTGCTCAGTCCCCCTGGCTCAACTTGCTGTAGGAGGGCTGGCTGGAGCACGAGGGTGCTTCAGTGTGGGTCTAGTCGGCAGGCAGCCCCTGCATTGAAGCACCCTCATCTCCCAGTCAGCCCCTGTAGTATCTATGTGTGCGCTGCTGTTGATTGTTTTACTCTACAGTAGGATAGTATTTGTATTTACACGTACTGTCCTGCTGTGGAGTAAATTAAGCTACTGCAGCCTAATGAGGTGCATGTGTAGATGCTAGACATTTACTGTGCAGCTAATAAGTCAACTGCACAATGAACGTCTTATGTAGATGTGCCCAGTTGGATTGTTTAGCATTCCCATCCTCATGGAAGGGTAAATCCAGAAATGTAGTTGGGGTGGGGGGTGGAATATATTCCTGAAGCACTTGCATAATGCACAACCTCCTAAATGAGAAGCAAGGTAGCAGGATACAATAGCATAGTTGCTTTAGGGTGAGCTAATTAGCCACCCTGCCAGGATGTATGAAGGGTTTACTGTTTCTCATTTGTGAGGTAGCACATCTGCTGCTGGAAACATTTTTTCAGGATTGGCTGCTGCCCTATTAGCTTGCTTGTTGTCACTATGCTCCCTCCCTAGTATTATAACGTGATGTCCTTTTAAGAGAATCTCACTCATCATATGCAGTGACTTTTTTATGGTCCCAATATGATTTTGAAATTGAAGGTGCTTCTTGGCCTTCTTCCCCTGGCTGCTCTCTCAAACTTCCATAATATTAAGTCACACTGCGTTTCCTGAGTTTGTCAAAATTTTGTCTAAAAAATGGGTAGTACTTAAGTTACAGTTACTTCCAATGCTTCTTCCTCCTGAGCCATGCTTTCAGTATTACATGCTCTTTTAAAGCAGACACACATTGATGTCCTCACCAGGCCTGCACTTCACATCTAACCAATCTTTTTGTGAATTAATAACTATTTTCTGAAGCTTAAGCAGTGGCTTATACATAGTTTCTTAAGACTGCTTTGCAATTCAGCATAGTCTATTTTGTTTCCTGCCCATAATATTAATAAAATTGCTACAGAAAATAATCATCACCATTTCTTTTACAATCTGAACATAGTTCTGTATTTTGGAAGCATGTGCCAGTGGTGATCATGCATCAAAACATAATCAAGCCATCAGTGGTGTAAGTACAGGGGGAGTGACAGGGGCAACCATCCTGGGTGCTAGCCAGGGACGGACGGCAGACACGAAGCAAAAAACTGCAGCTGCTGCCAGCAGCCCCAGGTTCACATTCAGGACCACAGCAGCAACCAGAAGTTGCTGCTTCTGTTTTGATCTGGGTGCCTGGCCACATCCCTGCTTTGCTGCAAGCCATGTGCGCTTGCATCAACCATAGTCATAGGCTCTTTGCCAATTTCAAGAAAACTTCCACAGATGGAGAATCCACAGTTTCTCTAGGTAGCCTGTTCCAGTGCTTGACCACCTTTATAGTCAGAAAGTTCCTCCTAATCTCCTAAATATCCTCTGTTGCAACTTGAGGCCATTGCTCCAGGTCCTGTCTTCTGTAGCTACAGAGAAAAGCCCATCTGCATCCTCTGTAATCGCCCTTCAGGTATTTGAAGACTAATGAAAGCCCCACTCAGTCTTCTCTGACTAAACCACCCTATTTCTTTCAGCCTTTCCTCGTAAGTCTTGCCTCCCAGGCCCCAGTCATTATTCTTGCTCTGCTCTGGGCTCATTAAAATCTGCCCCTGACATTTTTGAAGTATGGGGCCCAGAACTGGACATGGTAGGCTGGGGGAGGAGGGGCCTTGCCAGGGCTGAACAGAGTGGAAGAATCACTTTGGTGGGCACACACTTCTCACAAGACAACCACTCTTTCTCCAGTCTCTCAGTTCTAATCCTGAAATGCATTTTACAAAACACCTTTCATAGACAAGCCTACAACTTCACTTCATAAATCTATTGGATACAAAAAATCACAGACTAAATATAGACATTGGATTGACAGCACATTATAACCTGCCTGCCATCTGACAACCCCAGGCAATCAGTCTGCATTTTATCAGCTACATTCTGTCACCAGTTCAACATTCCCCCTTCCTTCCCTGCCCTACCTGTCTCACACCTATTGTCTCCCATTCCCTCTGAACCTCACCGCCACACATTTGCATCTTTACAGACCAGCATTTTACATACTGGCTTCTGTTCTACCCAGGAAAGCATATAAAACAACACGGGACTCTCCCTATATCTGAAGAAGGGTGTTTGTGCCTGAAAGCTTGCAAAGAACAATTTTTCCAACTATTTAGTTGGTCTAATAAAAGATATCACATCTAGCTGAAGAACCGTGTCTGCCATGCCTGATGAAGCCAGTGAGCTTCATACCACCAAAGCCTGTGCTAGAGCTAGCTAGCTAGTAGAACTAGATAGACAGACACGCGTGCACACACACTTAGTTAGGTAGACACTGTCTCTCTCAGGTTAGCCTGTAAGGTGCCAGTCTTCCTGCCTGCTTCTTGACTTCAGCCTAACAAAGCCAGCTCTGTCCCAGCTCCCCCAGGTCAGGTCAAATGAGTAAATGTTTCCCTCCCCTCCAGCTCTTCAGAGCCAACATGATGCTCCTCAGGAGCATCCTGCACAAATGCATGGCAGGACAGGGTCCCCAGAGGCCCTCCTGCCCTGAGCAGGGGCTGAACTAGAGGTCCTTGTGAAGCCCCTGTCAGCTCTGCTCCTCTGTGCCTCAGCATGGGGTAGCCTGGGGAGAGAGTGGCTGGGATAGCTGCCAGGGGAAGGTTCCTGCCTAGAGTTGGCAAGCAGTAGGCTTGGCAAGTCAATCAGTTGACTGTATATTTTTGAGGGGGTCAAAGATGATAGCAAATTTACAAAAACCCCTATTTCTTTGTAGTTTTCTTGACAGAAATATGATGTATTGTTTTTGACACATTCCTTCATGGAAAACTTGTGCTTTTCCTATGTATTATTTGGACCCTTTGGCAATTTTTTACAATGTTTGACTGCTCAATCGACCAAACTTTATTTGACGAACCCAATCCCCACCAGCGAAGAGGCACGTGGCAGCGCCCCGGGTCCAAGGCCGGAACAGGCCGCGCCACTGCGGCACAAGGCCGCGCGCCGCGCACCACTCTACTACCGCTCCACAGCCGGGCACGCGCGGCA